TGATAAATTCAACGATGTCGTGTATTCATTCATGGACTCGACTACATCAAACATTGGTGCTAATATTGCCTTGTACTTCAAATTACTGGGATCATCAGTTGTCTGCTTAAACATTGGATATATGTTTTCTACAATTTGAGCAATCGAATCATCAGATGGTTGAAGTAAAATATCCTCTGGTATGCCAATCATTCCACAACCATCGTTTGACCCTCCTTTAGTTCCATCACTAATGCTCACACTCATTCAGCGAACCGAGCAACCTCTTCAACTTCCTCGGAATCTCTAAGACTCTCAAGACGCATGTTTTTTTGTAAGTCCTAGCATAGTACAACTCGTCCAGATGTCAGAAGCATTAATCTTAGCATTCACTATGTCCCGACGCCTACCCTTCGGAATTACATAAAGAATTTGTCGAAAATCTCAACAAAAAACAATTGTTTTGCCTCCAAATGGCTTTTCCTTTTTAGAATGATAAATTGCTCCAATAATATGTTTTCCTCGTTCCACAATATTCGTATACAAAAAAAAAAAAAAACACCGCCTTGACCGAAATCCACGAATGACATAATTGTTGAGTAGACTCCTTTCTATTCATGATGCACGAGATGGTATATTTTTATGATTTTTTTTAATAATAACATTAAATTTAATGCATCTCCCCTGTCCCACTAATGTTTACAACAGTAGATTGCATCTCCAATGTCCCAGTACTCTACAAATAGAAAGTAAAATAAATTTATTTGATGTTCCATTATAATAAGAAGATAATATTTAAAAAATATTAATATTAAAAATAAATAACCAGATAATCTCGAGGTTGATCTAAGATTCTTTCTTGGACGACCACACTTTCTTTTTTCAACTGTGGTTTGAATGAGATCATCTTCAGTTAAATCGATAACAGGTACAAGTGTACAACACATGTTCTATACCGCTTAGACGACAAAATCGGGATTGGAGCAGTACTAATTGTATTTTTCTTTTCGTCGTCACTCAAAATGTCTACGACGATGCTTTCCTAACCATGAATATAGGAATTATTCTAGCTTTTTTCAAGAAAGTTAGGTTGGCCTGTATATTAAAAAAATAATATAAAATTACACATTAAAATATCAAAAAATATAAAGTCATAAAATATTTATCAATATATATATATATATATATAAACTGGAATATAAATGCAATACTATGTGTAATATCAGAGAACTACATAGGATTTGAAGCATTCGATGAACTTCCCGATCATAGAATCATTTAACGTTTACTAAAAGTTTTTACATCGCGAATATCAGAAGTACCTAGTAAAAAAACAGGATTGTATTAAAAAGAATACACATTTCATATACTATAATATAATATTTATAATATAAAAAAAAACTATTCAAAGTCAACAAATTTGTAGAAATATTGGGATAATTAGTTAATTAAAACTACAAAATTGTAGTAAAAAATCAGCCCAATAATACACATATTGAAGACCAATTATTAAAATCTTTAGGCTGCACATAAATTAGTAAAAAGTGGCCCAACATAATTAGCTTTCTTTTTTAAAAAGAAAGGCCCGATCTCATGAATAATTTTTTTTTTTTTTTTTGTAAGTGAAAGAGTCTGGCTTTTAAGAAAAGTCCCAATAGTTTTAAAGGCAGTAAATCTAACGGTTAATAATGTTACACTTGTAACAATCAGACGACTGCAAATTATTTAGGAAGAATATAAAATGGAAAAATTTTTTGTAGGGTTTCACGATAATTTACCACACCGATTGCAGCCACATTCTCTAAATATCTGTCCAAATTCTCTGCCAAAAAAATTCGCATTTACAAACAAAAAATGAAAAAACAAAAATTCACAAATCCATGACAATTTTTAGGAAATACAATTCAAATCCCGATAATACGGTAAGATCTATGTCATATATAGATAGATCGGCTCGAAAATTTTGAGTTTTACGGACTTGCTTTTGTTATTTCGTATTGAAATTTCGAGCTTCATGCTTTATATACATAAACCCGTCCGAAATTCTTGATTTTTTCGGGCTTCAAAGTATCTGTCTCGAAAATTAAGATATTTCTATGTTTGTCGGCCGTCGGGTTTCTGCCGGAGATGAGAAGAACGAAAAAATCGGCAACAATTCGTCAGCTGGTCCATGCAGTATCATTTTGCCAGCAGTAGGCGGGCCTTCCGTCGCCTGACCTTAGTCCAGCGGAATCCCGTCTAACCAAGCCAAGGTCGTTTCGCCATCGCCGCAGAACAACACGTGAGACGAGAGTTACCAGCAGTCGAGCCCCGCTTGAATTTCAGACCTCCGTCGTCCGATCTTCATCCCGCCGGCAGCCGCTGAGCAGCGCCGCCGTACGTCGACAGTTGAGTGTATCAAAGAACGGTGCAATTTTGTTCTCTCTCTTTTTTTTTTTTATTTCTCTGTTTTTTTATTTGTACATGTTCTGCGCTTTTGGAAGAGAAGATAATAAAGTGTATTAATGAAAACCCATTTTATACACCGTCTGTATCTGTATGTTTATCTCTACGAAAAATATGGGTTGATTTTTGTTAGAATATTAACAAAAAACGCGTGAATTGGTTACCAAAAAATGCGATCAGATATCTCTACTAATATCTTGGGAGCATGTGAATTTGTTACCAAAAAATATGGAATGATAAATTGATAATATTAATCTAAAGCGCGTTAATTGGTTACCAAAAAAAATCGATTGAATATCTATAATAATCTATTTTATCAAAAAGAATATTGGTTACCAACACCGAAAATGAATATTGATTTCTCTTAAAACGGTTTCCAAAATAAGCAAGTCAAATGGTTGACTGCGATTTTTATTAAAGTTTCCTCTTTTGATTTTTTTACCTTCCTCTTTCAATTATTATAGATTTATAGACTAGTACAACGCCCGTGTATTACACGGGTGCTTGCTAATTTTTCCCTTAAAATTTAAAATTAATGAGAAAAAATAGTTGAAATTTAAATACCTTTATTGAAATATATATTATTATATATTTAGTATGCGATTTTTTATTTGTGTGATTTACTTGTGTTATTTTAAAATAATTTTTTTAATTTACAACATATAACTACATTAAATATAAATATATCAACTGAGAAATAGTTTTATTTTTCTAATAAATTTTAGTAAATATTATTATTTTTTATTATTATAAAGATAAATATAATTCATTTATTTTATATATACAATATGAATGTCAAATCGAAAATCATGAAAAAATGATTAATTTGATATATTATATATGCAAAATCGATAAGAAATACAAAAGTTATCAACTTTTAAAATACATTTATAATTCAATAGCTAAATTGATGGAAACAAATCAAAA